GCATAGGCTATTTGAAAATAAAAACTCATCCACTGTTTTCCATTCAGCTCCAATTCATAGTGACCCTATAGGACAAAGTAGAACTGCACTCTTTGAATTTCCAAAGCTATAAATCTTTGTGGAAGCCAACTCATACATCATTGTCCTACAGAGCACTGAGTGGATTCTAACCACTGACCTTTGGTTAGTGGCCACATTTTTAGCTACAGTACCTCCAGGGTTCCTTGCATAGGGTTTAGGTCCATCAAATCAATTATGACTCATAAAGATAATACAGAGAGAGTAGAACTGCCCTGCAGGATTTCCAAGGCTGAAACCTTCATGGAAGGAAATTACTACATCTTTCTCTCATGAAGCAGCTGGTGAATTTGAACTCGTGGCCGTTTTGTTAGCAGTGAGAGCTGAGCCACAGCCCCTTTAGCACTTCCTGTCATAGGTATTGTTGTGGTTCGGTTTTGTCAAGTCAGCAACGCATAACGATCTAATAAACGATGGATTTGAACCTTGCCCTAACCTCAGCCATCCTCATCATCTCTGATATACTGGAGCCCGTTGTGAGAGTCACTGTGTCATTCCATCTTGTTGAAGATTATCCACTCTTTCTTTCACTGGCCTACCTTTTCAAGCATAATGTCCCTGAAGTCAACTTGAAGTATCAAGAATTATATTAAGAAGAATACCTCTTTGTTATAAAAGTGGGAATTGATAATTGCTTAAAAATTTATTAATAACCATTGGTATTTATTGTTCCAGATTCTTTCTACGCATATATATAAAATGGAATATTATTTATCCTGTGGTTTAGATGCAGTTGTATGTTATTAACTCTTTTCTCTTTATCCTTTCTAAATGAATATTTAGATAATTTCTAAGCTTTCTTATACTACCATTGTTGTTGTTGTTGTTATGTGCCGTCAAGTCGCTTGCAACTCATAGCGATGCTATGTACAACAGCCCTGAACTCTGCTCTGTCCCGGGCCAATCGCACAGTCTCCGACACACCCATCCCAATTACCCCAATCACTGAATCCATCCACCTCATAGAGGGCCTTCCCCTTCTGTGCTGTCCCTCCACCCTCCCAAGCATGATGTCCCTCTCCAAAGACCTGTCCCTCCTTGCAACATGTCCAAAGTATGTCATATGGAGCCTTAGAATGCTTGCCTCCAAAGAGCAGCCCGGTTTGACCCGTTCCAGGATGAATCTGTTTGTTTTCCTAGCAGTCCATGGACCCTCAATACTCTTCTCCAGCTCCACAGCTCAAAGGCATCAATTTTCCTCTGTCCTCCTTAGTCATTGTCCAACTCTCTGATTCATAACAAGTGATAGCAAAGACCATGGCCTGTATCAGGCGCACCTTAGTCTCCAAAGAGACACCATTGCTCTTCAGTACTTTGGAGAGCTCCCTAACAGCAGACTTTCCCATGGCAATATGTCTTCTAATTTCCTGGCTGCTGATGCCAAGACTGTTGACTGTGGAACCAAGCAAACTGAAGCTGTGAACAATCTCAGTCTCTTCACCATCCATCCTGATGCTGCCAGTTGACCCAGTGGTGAGAATCTTTGTCTTCTTGACATTGAGCCTCAATCCATTTTGGAGGCTGCAGTCCTTGACCCTCTGCAGCAAGTGCTTCAGGTCCTCCTCAGTTTCAGCAAGCAGGGTTGTGTCATTTGCATATCGCAGATTGTTGATAGATCTTCCACCAATCTTGACCCCACATTTCTCCTCATAGAGCCCAGCCTCCCGGATAATCTGTTCTGCGTACAGGTTGAAAAGGTATGGAGATAGGATGCATTCCTGGCGTACACCCTTCGCAATTTTGAACCATGCAGTGTTCCCTTGCTCTGTTCTGATGACTGCCTCCTAGTCCAAGTATAGGTTTCGCATTAGAACGATCAAGTGTTCTGGGATTCCCATTCTTCTCAGAGTCAGCCACAGTTTGTTATGATCCACACAGTCAAATGCCTTTGCATAGTCAATGAAACACAGATAGACATTCCTCTGGTATTCTTTGCTTTCAGCTAAGATCCATCTAACATCATCTACAATATCCCTAGTACCATGACCCCTTCTAAACCCAGCCTGGACTTCTGGCAGTTCTCATACTACCATAGTCATCATATTTATACATGTTTTTGTAGACTGCTTATTTATCTTTTTCTAACATATATTCTAAAAAGAAAATTACTGAATCAAAGCTCACACACGTTTTACATTGTAATATATATTTAACTTACCTCTTGGAAAATATAGTGTGTTGAAACTCTAATATACTGCTGGCAGGAATGTAAACTGTTTACAACCATGTTGGAAAACTGTCCAAAAGTACCTACTAAGGTTGAGCATATACACAGTATCTGGCAAGTTCCTGTCTTAGATGTATAACCAATAAAAATATATACATATGTTTTACCAAACGACATTGACAAGTTTTCAAAGTGGCACACGAGCTATTTTTAAAATAAAAACTATAACCCAAACAATAGAAGGATAGATACATTTACACAAAGGAAGGGGAGCTCTGGTGAGTGGCACATGCTAACCCAAAGACAGCTGATTCAAAACCACCAGCATCTCTTGAGAGAGAAAGACGGGCTCTCCTATGTAGCTTACACGTTCTGAAAACCTGCTGAAGGATCAGCTATGTGTCACCTACAACTCAATGGCAGCGAGTTTGCATTTGAGTTGTTGTTATTGTTGTTGTTGTTGAGTGCCTGCGAGTTGAGTACAACTCATAGCGACCCTATGAACAAAAGGCTTGAAGCCTTTCTATAACTATTGACATTTATCAAAGTTCACAGAGTTTCCGGAGGCATGTTGTTTAGGAAGTGGATGCCATTCCTGCTTCCTAACCTGTAATTCTCTACAAAAAAGAGGGTGAATGAGCCACCGCTAAATAACATGGATAAATCTTAAGATGCCTAGCTAAAGAAATTGGAAATAAAAGGACTTCTATTTTTTTACTTCATTTAATTAATGTTTTAAAATGGGCAAAAATTGTTGATGGTGTTAGAATTCAGTGTATGGATACCCTTAAGGGGAGAAAGAGTAATGACAGGAATTAAGTACAAGACTTAAGGATTTCTTCTGATGAAATTATGCACTATTTTCCAGTACTGGTGCTGGTCACATGTGACATAGACTTGATTCATTTGTGAAAATTCAGCCACATTCAGTTGTGATTTTTCCACCTTCCTGTATGTGTATTTTACTTCAGTGAAGTGTTTACAGTGAAATAGTCTAATTTTCATATGTAGAGAACCAATATCAAATCCTTTCAAATATTGCCTGTTTTCCTGAGCTCTTGTCACTGATAGATAAAAAAACAGCTTTACCAGTCTTTTTAATCTATTAATATAAAAAAAGACTTCAAGTTATTGTTTCATTTTAATGTACTTTTAAGCAGAACACTTATTTACTTACTGTTCTTCTATAATGCTCATGTGCTTTTAATATTTGTTATAGCATTTGTTTTACTAATGTGTAGACTTTTCATGTATTATGGCTTTTGAGCCTATCATATGTCATAAAATAATAATATGAATAATGGATTATTAAGATTATTGAGTGAGATCATGCATTAGGCATTTGTCTCCTAGTTAAATCAAATAAACCTAGATAGAGGCTGTCTTTTAACCCCAAACTCTTAGCTTAGAACTGCATTGTTTGTCTCTCTATTCCAGTATAGAATATGTATATGGGGGATATTATTTTAAAGTTTTTGTTTTATTGCTTATGTATTAATATTCCCTGTAAAAAGAGCAAGGACCATGTGGGGAGCACCATATCTGACCACTACCCACTTCACAAGGTGAACCATCCCCATCGACAGCATCAATAGCACAAAACCAGTTCCCATGAGATCAGACGTTCTCATGCTCCTATGACTTTCTACTCATGTCACTACCAATCTTACTGCTTTGGTGGGTCCAAAATTCAATGTGATACCTCACAGACCACACAGAACCATATTGGGGAAGTCAAAGGTTGTAATTCAGATTAAGTACAAAATACAGTCAAGACAGCTCCCAAAATATGCACGCAGGCACCACAGCCTCAAACCTCTCAGCTCTAAGTGTTGTCAACTTCTCAGTCCTGCCAACACTGGAATCCCACACAGTTGTCTAACAAAGTTCTCAGTCCTGCCAATATTGGCTCTTTACCCCCTCCCCCCAAGGTCTCATCTCATCTCACCATCATGTCTTCAGTTCCATTATGGTCATTTCTTCTGTCTCCAAGCATATCCTACATTTTTCTGCCTCCTCTTCACCAGGGTAGGTAAGATCTCTCTTCTCTGGCTGGGGAGGATTCCATCTCTACAGCTAGAGCTGTTGAATTTATTGGCGAGACTAGCCAATCCTCTTGTAGATTGTTGAGGCTGGCCAAGCCTCTTGTGAGATAGCCAGTCCCTTTGTGGATAAGCTAACATGCCTCATTCACATAGTCCTGCCCATCCACATAGTCAGTCATCCACTCGAGGAAGAAAAGAAAGACAAACTCCATTATTCCTTTTCTGAATAGTCTAGGTTTTGCTTGGAACATGCCTCGAATAAAATCTGAAACCATAAACTCACTCACTGGTATTATATAATATCCTTAGGTTCTTTTCGTTTCTGTTTGTCTTTCCTTTCCATACTGTGGAGAGGAGAAGAAACTAGAATCAGTTTTGTTTCATTTGCTTTGTATCGCACATTAATTTCATATCTAAATTGTGTTTTTATAAAATAGCTCTTTAAAAAACAGTGTGTCGCATGCTCTTTACTTTCTCAACCAATACCATATTTCCAAGTGATCTCTTTAACTAAAACGTTTTCTTTTAGTAACTCAACTAGTCTGATGTACTCTCACTATTGTGCTGCTGTATGCATTTGTTTGTGGGTGCCTTATTAAAATAATGTATGTAAGTTATTTTCGGGACTTATTTTCATGTGTAGCATTGTCTTTCTGTGCTGACCTGTGAATTGTTTTGGTTTTGTTTTTATCTTGATATGTAATGCATAGACGCTCTGCTGTAGCCCGCATTCAGGAATTCTTCAGGCGAAGAAAAGAAAGGAAAGAAATGGAAGAATTGGATACTTTGAATATTAGAAGGCCACTAGTAAAGATGGTATATAAGGGACATCGCAATTCCCGGACGATGGTACAAAATGCTTCTCTTGGCTTTTTTGAGAAATTGTAGCTTCATAATGTGTGTGGATTTTTCCCATAATAATTCTTTTCATGTACTGCCAGCATGATTTCAGTATTATATGATTGCATCTCCATAGTCATTGCTTTCCCTAAATGCAGTTCTTTAAATCCTATGGTATGCCATGAGAGATAATTGTTTTTACAAAGAAAAACTGCTTTATTGAGGAAAGATAGGGACAATTTTGTTTCTTTTGATGTTTGGGTCTTGGTTTTCATTTTTTTTTAATTTAAAAACTTTTTTTATTTTATTGTTTTTGTGTGAGTGTACCGTCAAATCAGATCTGACTGGTACAGAAGGAGATTGTCCCTCCTTCCCCGGCAAAGCATCTGGTGGATTCGAATTTGTTTTGTTTTTAAGCTCTTATTAGTGACTGCTGTTTTGGTTTTGCTATCTCACACTATTTCCTATCTGAAAGTTTCCATAGATTTTTTTTAAAAAACTAACTTTTGTTAGTTTTAGAGAGAAGATTTAGATTTGTGAAAAGAAAGTTTATTGCAAAATAGGCCAGTTTTGGGTTTTTTAAAAATAATACAGCCTTTTTAAGTTTCACTTGACAGTGAAGATTTGTTTTAATCAGTTTCTTTTCTGGACTCCCAATTTCCTCAATCATTGATCAAGAATAATGAACTCAACTGTAAGGCCTCTTCAAGCTTTCGCAGTCCGCAGGTGCAGACACCCAATGGAGTAACTGTTACTTGAACCATTCATTTCTTTAGGTCCTACTAAGAAAGTTACTTTGAATTGGAGAAGTATTTGTTTCCTCTGAAAATATGACTGGCAATAATAATTGAAACTTATTTTTTAAAGAATTCTCATTATTAATAGATATAAATTGTTTACATCTCTTCTTTTCTGCTTAAAAAATATGAATAAAAATACTTAGAAAAAAAGGATGAGAAAATTAAAAAGGAAAATGATAACCAGGACAGTGTTGTTCTCATGTACCATCAAATCAGAACCCATAGCTGACCCTCTAGCAAATTTTCAGGGGCATTTAAACACAGGAGAAAATGACCCATCTTTATCCCACAGAGCGTTGGTGGATTCAAACTGTATACCTTTGGGTTTGCAAGGCAGTTCCTTACCACTAAGCCATCAGAGCCCCCTAACCATGTCATTATCTCCTGATAACTATCAACAAAACTGGCTCCTATTTTTTGATAATCACCAAAAAGAGCCAAGGATCAACAGTAGATAAAATGCTTGAGGAAATTCTGATTTTTGATGTACAGACCTTTTTCCTGGTTGATTCATGTGCATCTATTTCTACAAAGTCATATAGCCATTTTGGTACATTTTATCAGTTTTGTTGCATGGTTTAAAAAAATATTAAAATGTGTCTATCCTCCCTTTTCAATTATAGAAGTTTTTAACTGCCAAATAAAAAGGCAAACTTTTTAAAGCTGAAATGAGACAGCTTTGGAAACTTTAGCATCATATATATAAATTAACATTACTATCTAGAGCCCATAACACTAATTTATTGATTCTAGTAATTATTCCTGTGTGCCAGGTACTGAAAATACAGCATTGAACAAAGCAAAATTCCTGTCTTCAGGTTTACTTATGTCCACATTCACCCTACCCATATTCACCGTGGTGGCTTTATATGATGATTTTAAGATATTAGAAGACAAAGACTGTTTAATTTCTTTCTTCTTCTCTTAAACCAGTTTTTTAAAAACTTGTGTATAGTGCAAGTCTTCATTTTAATAACTTGAATTTTAGTTTTATTATGACTTACTTTTTTTAACCTTTAGATTAAAGAAGCCAATTTCTGGGGTACTAACTTTGTAATGAGTGGTTCTGACTGTGGCCATATCTTCATCTGGGATCGCCACACTGCTGAGCATTTGATGCTTCTGGAAGCTGATAATCATGTGGTGAACTGCCTGCAGCCGCATCCATTTGACCCAAGTAAGATGATCGTCTATAGGCAACGGATAGAAAGTATTAATAAAATTGTTCAATTAACATTTTTTCTGGTTGTTAATGTTATTAAAGTAATCATAATATCCTCCCAGACAGTCATTAGAGTAAATTATAACCTTACTAGAATTTTAAACAGGCAAAACACCTAATACCTCTTCTTTGATAGAAAAAGTATAAGGAAATAATGTATTCTCATAATGTTTCTTCTTAATGTTAAATTTTATTGGTGTTTAAAAGTACTGCATGCCTCAAACTCTTTACTACTTACGCAAATAGACCCTCTAAACATTTTCAGTCTTTACATAGCTGGATTAATCACCCAGGACAAAATGTATTTGCTTACTTTAGTGCGTTATTTCATATTGCTCCTGTGTATTGTAAAAGAGCAGTGACTAAGAGAAGTGAACTTCAGTGACTCAAAGATGGTAGTAAGGTAGCTTTTGGGAAATCTTCATAAATTTTTTTCTCAACTTAGCAGCCAAATGTATCAGTACAATTTCTATTCAAGTTTAGTTTTGCTGTGTAAATACTGGATAGCTATAGAGGTATGTCTGTGTTTATATCAAAAGGTAAAAATGAATGCATATCATGTTTTTAAGACCTATATAAATATGTACATTATACTTCTAGTTCTGGCCTCATCTGGGATAGATTATGACATAAAGATCTGGTCACCACTAGAAGAGTCAAGAATTTTTAACCGGAAACTTGCTGATGAAGTAAGTTGTTTATACTCTTTTATAGAATATATTTTATTTGTTCCTAAAATGCTTTCCTAAGGAGACTTAAAGCATCTCATTATTACCAACATAAAATATTCTCATTAAAGCAGGATAATTTTAAGAAAAATTAAATACTAAAGTGATATAAAAATAGTTCCTTGCTAGTTAAAATTAGTAATACCATATTAGATATGTTAGTGTAAGAAAAGTTAGATTTGACCATTTATGTTTATTGCAGTAGCAAATAATTTTTTAAAAACCTGTTGTTTTAAGAAAGTAAAAATGTTTTATGATAGCTAGCCTTTATAATCATGTTGTTGTGTGCCATCAAGTCTGAACCAACCAATATAGCTGACTCTGCAGCGAGTTTTCAAAGGCAGTAAATTGCACAGGAGATGGCCCATCCTTCTTCCGTGGTGCAGCTGCTGGATTTGTGCTTTCGGGATTGCAGCTTCTAAGCACTAAGCCTGCCGGGCTTCCTTTATAGTAATAGCCATTTTAATTGTTTTTCCTATTTTTAGTATTTCTTTAAAATTAGGCTTACTTTCAAAATCAATAAATAGAATAAATTATTGGAAAATCTATTTCTTCATTAGTATATTCTAAGGTTTCCCCAGCTTTTTGCTACTATGGTAATTTTCACACTGAAATCTACAGTCTTTAGAATTCTCAGGATTTGTCGAGGGAAAGTGGCTCACAGAAAGGCAGACTCCAAACCTTTTTTCTACAACTTCATTTAGAAACTTTAGGAGTTTTCATACAAACAAGATTTTTTTAATTCATCCATTCATTTACATACATTGCTTTATAAAGTTTTTTTAACTCCATTTATGTCTTAGACACTACATTAAAGACTAATGATAACTTCAGACAATATAGACTTCTTGTTGTTGTGTACCAATGAATCTCATCTAGCAGGCACAGGAGGAGATTGCCACTCCTTCTCCACAGAAGCATCTGGTGGATTCAAACTGCACGCCTTCGGGACTGCAGCGCAGCTTCTTGCCACCAGGCTACCAGTGTTCCCTTCAGTTAAGATTTGTAGTGAAGATGCTAAAAATACTGAAAAGAGTGGATAGATAATGAACACAGTATTGGAGCAAATGAGGGAAAAGACTGTCTGAAGGGTGGGAGAGGGTGGAAAATGTGCAATAATGGGTGAATGAAAACCCAGCCTTTCCATAAACTTTTGTTAAAAATCACAATTTTAAAAAAAAATTGGACAGCCTCTACTCTGAAGCAAGATTGACAGACCACAATATAATTCTATCATATATTTTCACATACTTGATAAACATTTACAAACACTACTGTACATCAGGCACAGTTCTAGGTATAAAGAGAAAAAGTCCAACCTTTAATGCATATAACATAGAAGTAAAGACTAACTTTTGTTGTCTAAACAGACAACAAAATACAAGTCATCAGGTAGTCTCAGTCATCAATCTTTTTATTTCTTTTTATTTGTGATTTGAGTGAACCTGAAGATATTCTTACAGAAAGGGGGAAGAGATAGTTAAAGAGCTGAATGGAAGATGTCAAAGGGCAGCTCAAGAAGACAAAGTAAGCTACTATAACTGGGTGTACAGAGAGCTGGAATTGGAGAATTAAAAGAGAAGAACTCACTTGACATTTTCAAGCTGAAAGAACTGAAAAAAGTTTCAACCCACGAGTTAAGAAAAATGAAAATAGAGGGGTGTGGTGGGATTGTGTCCCAGGGAGGGAGTGTTTCTTTTCCTTTACTTTTGAAAGAGAGGAGTGAACTGGGTTGGGGGGAGGGCTGGACAGGGAGAGAAGTGCAGCAATGAATGAATGGAAATCCAAAATCTCTGTAAATGCTCATTAAAATTATTTTAAAAAAATAAAGCTTA